CATTCATTGGTGTAAAAGTCGTATTCAAATTAAATTAGGCATTGAACTAACTTACTTTTATTTTTTGAGTTTTAAATTTGAATTATGATGAAAAGGAGAGTATTAAAAAAATTAGTTAAAGTAGGTATCTATAAAAAAAATTGTTGTAAGATATACCTTTGTTAATCATCTGCATTAGAACTATCTACCCCCCCCCCCAAAAAATAAAAAATCATTTGATGGAGCTCCTTAACATATGCAATCAATAAAGATATATTTTGGGAAGAAAATTATGAATTTAAAAGATAAAGTAGATTAAAATCTTATATTTAGAATCAAAATAAATATTTTATTTAACTCTTATATTAAAGATTAGAGTTAATATCTTATTTGATATGTTTATGGGGTTTGAGTCCTGGATGGTAGACTTTTTGACATGGAATTTATTGCTATGGTTAGCTTTCATTATTTGGTTAAAATCTTTTCTATTGTAAAATTATTTAATAAATTTTATTTTTTAATCATAATAGGGTCATTGCTTGAAGAAAATGTTGAGTTTTTATGGTTTTGGAAGAAAGGGCGGCATTACATTAAATATCCCTAGCCTATAATCAATGGACAGTTTTTTCTATATAACTTTTACTTCAATTTTTTTTCCTCCTAACCTTTTCAAATACTTCTGAATGAGTGGATGATACTAAAGTTTGATTAATGACCTAAGTTGATGCTACATATTTATTAGGTACAAAATCGAACACTTAGGACAAAGCCAAAAAGGTTGGCTCTTTTTGTTCCTTCCCTTTGCCATTTAAAAAACGCATAAAGAAACAACCAATGAATGGCCATAAATTGGCACTTGTCTCTTTCAAGAGTCTTGGGTGAAAAGAAATTAAAGACTAAAAGATAATGTTAGGTTTTCCCAATGGGTGTAAAAAATGAAAAGAAAAAAGTCTAGCTGGCATTTGGTGATTGGATCCCTAGAATCTGTCTTTCTAATATTAGAATCATATAAATACTTTGTCCTGAAATTCGACAGTAGGTGGTGGGGAATCTGCTGCCTTATGAGACCAAAAAGAAATTGAAAAAAATGGAATTTATCCAAATAATAATGATAATACAGACTATTCTTTATTCAGCTGAGTGAGATATGCAGCGTAAAGCACTTCCCTAGACTTCCTATGGCCCTCTTTATTTGATTTGAGAAGATGTTATCTTTAACATCATATTCATCCTCCAATGAACGTGCCTCCTTTGGAAAAGATAGATGTCATCAATTTAATTTTTCTTCCGTATATATCTAGTCTTCATATTAGTCTTTACTTAAACCACCTATAATACCACTTCACTGCCGCAAGAAAGACTTTTTACGTCAATTTGGGAGGGCTGTTCACGTTGATTACTAAAAGGTAGTATATATTAGTATCGTAATTTGTAAAAAATCTACTACCTCAGGTCCAAATTATAAGACCTCGTTTGTAATTTACAAATGAGATCTTATAATTAGAACCAGAAGTAGTATATCGATAAAACAAACGGTGTAAAAAAGACTTTCTATATCAATTGAATTAAGTAACTAAAATAGAAAGTTCATTTTCTACGTCCGTTAACCTGTAAACTTAATAAAGCCTTTCCAATCAAAGGAAAACGAAAGTACTTCAAATTTGTGAATCTCTTTATCTTTTCTTAACCTAATAACTCTGTCCAATATATTATGACTTCTTCTTACTCACACTTGACTCCCAACATACTTAATAGCCAAGAGTATAGGTGAAATTGAATCCGAACCACAAACGGGTCATTTGGCATTTAAGCAAAACACGTATTGCTAAATGGCTCTTGGAAGCTGCATGTAGTGGTGGTGGTAGTGGAAGAGTACAAATTCTGATTCCCACAATGGAATAAGGATTCTAATCATTTGATTTGAAGTCTCCGAATAATGGGAATGTTGTGTCACTGCTCAGGCATAACTGGGCATTAAATCTGGATGCAGTTTGTCTCCAATAATTTAGTGGAGTCAGGAATCAGAATTGGACACAAGAGAAGAGATACATTTATAAGAATCTTCACGCAAGCATTCACTTAAACAAACACTTTTTTTGGTTAAATGTTAAAGACATCACTAATCACTAAGTTACTTAATATCAACATGCATAGCAAGCATGCGCACTTGTGTGTGTAAGCTATTGTGGCATATTCTCCAACATTTATATACAGTTCCAACAATCGATCAATCATTGTATAATTTTTTAGGGAGTTAGTGGCTTATAAATAATGTCGTGTGCATGACTTCATGAATATCTGTAATGATAAAACATCCAATTAATTGTGTGGCTTATAAAATCTATTAACAAAAGTTAAAAGTAATAAATATGTAAAAAAAAAATGTATTTTTTCTAAATATACTCTTATTTGTAATTGAGTAAATGTGAGTGTGTAAGAGAGAGAAAGAGAGAGAGAAATAGTTGAAAAAAAGATAACGGAGAATGTATGTGGAAAAAATAATACAATTAGAGATAAAATTTATAAAAAAAATACATTTAATGTTCAGATGACCTTAAATTAGATCTTATAAAAAGGATTGAGGGGAATATTAGTTTTTGAAATATTTATTTTATTCATAGTAATTATAGTTTGTCATGTGAATAGGTTCTGCGCTTGTGTGATCACAAAAATCAATGTCTAGAAAACACATGTACAATATATAAGCCAATAATTTATTAACTATGCAACGCATGAGTAAGCATTTTTAATTTACTCCCTAACCAAAAATATAAGGCGCTTTCTAGAGAAAATTCTTGGTCTATAACACAAGTCACATAGGAAGTCACTAGCTACCATTTTCTATCCTTAGACTTGTTTATTAATTGGTATTACACCTACACCAAGCTGCCAATAGATAGCATTCCATTCACTTGGTTCATCGTACTATACTATATGAACCGTAATCCTTTCATACGCTATTTTTGATCCAATCTCATGCTTGATACGAAAGCAATAAATAGCTATACTCATTAGATATTGAGAAAGGGAGAGGTGAGATGTATTTGGGCAGGAGCAAACCTAGAAAAATCTTTCAACTCAAGATAAATTTAATGTCTTTTTAATTCCTATTAAGTGGTTTGATGTTACCTATATTTTGGATTGGAGAGAGTATGTATGTTAAATCTCATTAGACATCACTAAGTTGATTTTTAAATTAATGCTAGTGAAATATTATTGGTCAGGTGATATGAAATTGTCGTTTGCATGCTTTTGGCACACGTGGTAATTTTATACACCATGATGATCCATCAAATCTTAATAGCATATAAAGTAAGACTTGTATGCACACACATACTGGTGTGATAATGCTTTGGTTCTTGCAAGTGGAACAAGGCCTAAGATTATAGTTAAATGGGATTGGCTGATGGATTTGTTGGCTGCCTATGAATGAAGTGATTGGAATGGATGTGTGACTGTCTCCCATTGCTGGAACTGAAAAGCAATTGCAGAGGAAGACCTAATGGAGCTTCTTGCTTTTGCCTTTTCTGTTATTTTTATGTGGGTAGGAGGATTGTTTTTGTCATATTATAATTGTGTTAGGCACGTCAGTGGCTTTGTGATTGGAGGTCATTTTCTAGCGGCTACTTGTGCAACTTTTTAATCCTTTTGCTCTGCGTTTAGTACAAGAATTGAACTAGTTGCTGAATTTGATGATATTGTGACGAAGGAGGAGGATATGCCCTTGTGTGAAGCAACATTCTCTTTTATTCAATGTTTTAAAAGCCGGACCGGAAGTCGAGCCGGAAAGATCAACGGGTCATGGTTCAATCGGTCGGATCGGTCGGACCGTTTGGTCAGACCGGTGATGCAATAATTAATTTAAAACAATATTATATACATATAATTAGTATATATGAAAAATATCAAATTATTAAATAATTTAGAATGCATTTAAATAATCTAAAATTATAATGAAATCATTGAAAATGGACTAAAACCTTATATATTTAAATTTATGTATGTTTAAAATATTTAATGATATTACAAATTATCAATTCATTCAAATCAAAATATTTTTTTAAACGATAGACCAAATATCAAAACAAAAAGACTAGCGACTTATGATTTTAACACCACAATATATGAAATTTCAATGAAATAATACTCTATGGTTATAAATAGTCTAAAAATATATTAGGATACTTAAGGGGATCAATTTTTTATTTTTCTTCTATTTTTTTTTAAATTTTTAGTATTTTTTCAGTCAGGCTAAAAACCGTCCGGTTTTCTGAAAACCGTTCCGGTTCCCGGTCCAACTCCGGTTTCCGGCTTAATAACAGCTCAACTCCGGTCCAATCCGGCTCAACTATATGAACGGTTTTTTGGTCCAAACCGAGCCGTTAACGAGTCCGGGTCACGGTTCAACCGGTTCGACCGTTCGGTCCGGTCCGGTTCTTAAAACATTGCTTTTATTAATACAAATTTTGTTTAGTTGATAAGAATATGACTGACGGGCTGATGACAGAGTTATCCTCACAGTCATTTCAGATTCATGTGCTGGTCTTATAGTCTAGCGGCATAAATATTTTCCTGTGAATGAGATGTCAGATTTAATTTCGCTTGTAATATTAAACGGTTAGTATCTGTTTCTCTAATTCAAAAGAAAATTCACCTGCTAAAAACAAATTCCAGGGGTACCTCGTTGCTGAATTAATCGGAAGAACATGTTAGCTAAAAAGTAATTTTTGACAGGCTTGATGACTGAAAAGAAATTTTACTGTGTGTGTATGCGATGTAATTAATTTGCAGTAATTTGTACGAGCGCAAAGCTTTAAGCTGCTTTAATTTTACAGCGACGAATTTTTAGTCCTTTATATTTCATAAATGACATGTTCTCTTCAAATTTTTCCGTTATGATTTTTCCCAACTCATTTGTGAATACTGAATCAGAAAGACAGGGTTTTATATTGTTTCTCAGACCATAAACCAATACTCGAGCATGTACTGCACGCCAATATTCCAATTTGCTTTTGATAACATTCGCCTAACAATTTTGTTTATTAAGAACAAGCTTCATTAACAAACGTGAAACACAGCCCAATCCCTTCTCGATAAATAGTGTGCAAAAGGATAGCTCAAGACGGATAAAAGCTTAAATGAAAATTCTAACACAATTCTTTCTTGGCTAAGTGTAATTATAATAGAAGTAAACAAATTTCACCAAGGCAGCGGGGACCCAAAAAAAAAAAATTAAGCCGGGAGAGTCGCACTGCTGATGGAAGTACAGTACAGAATGACCCATACATGCTCATCCAACAACACCAACCATTTTTCCTAAACAAGACTGACGTTTATGCTTCATGCCTCAGTAATAAGCCTTGCGAGGATTGTTCTGTGGATACAAAAACATGAATATCAGTAAATCGCATTACATTATACTGGCTGAAGTAAGACAAACACAAATGAGAAAAAAATGGAATAGGTGTTTGTACCAGAGGATTGGGTCTGTAACGATAACCAAGCATCATCCTCTTTTTGTACTGCTCGTATATATCATCCTCAGGAGTCACCTCCCCAGGGTTGTTTGCACCAACCCCCAAGTTGTTCATCTTAACATTACCGGCCATGATTGGATCTGAAATACCAGTCCTGGAGCTGCCCAGACCCTCGCCTGGAATTTAAGATAATCGTTGGCAAAAGAAGAAATAATAAGCGCATCAACATCATAAAAACCACAATTCTTTCATCAACAATTTCACATCATCTGAATACATAAAAGTGGACCTCAGAAAACACAACCCAATGGCAGATTCAGAGAACTAACTTGTCTTACAATCCATTTATACTCACTTCACACAAAGGAGTACACAGGTGAGGGAAAAAAGATGCCTTAATATAACAGCTGGAGCTTGAGCTTCAGTTGAATGAGAATTTTTTGAATGAAATGCACTCAAGCGCTTGAAAAGAAAAGAGAATAGGAAAAGCAAAACACACCTTCTTTCCATCCCATTTTAGACAAAAGCTTGTGACCCACATTATCAGCCTGAATTTTAGCCTTCTCTGCAGCCTCCTTGGCAGCTTTCTGCGCTGCTACATCATTACAGGTAGCCAAGAACTTCTCTAGTTCTTCTTGGGGAATGTAATCACCCATGTGATGACCTTTTTTAGTAGAAGCTGTACTACACAAAAGGAAGCAATTAGAAGAATATTCCACAGAAAGCAAAAGTGTGATAGGAACTGCTTTTGAATGGTAAATGCATATACACCAAGAAACACTTTTTCAACACCGCAACTCATGCAAAAAGCAAACCTTGAAGAGAGGCAGGAGGGGGCATCTCATCTTTAGAATACTTAGGTCTTTTCATCTTCTCTTCCTGTGCAGCTTTCTTCATGTAGAACTCCATTAATGCTAAAGAATCAGCATTTGATGATCCGCCAGTTTCATCTAACACACATGGCATACATCAAAAGGATTGCACACCAAGCACATGAGAAGAGTTTAAAATATTGAAAACACCCCACAAGTGCTCAGATCTTTGATTTATTTAGACCAAGTACGACACAGACAAATGCAGTTATTTCTGTCTACTTCATATTCAAATTCGTCACATTGACAGATGAACACAGATCAAAAGGTGAACACTGAAGAAAACCAAGAACAATTAAACAGATACAGTTCTTACTAGCACTTCCTCCTGATGCTGCTTGACCTGAAGATCCATAACCTCCAGGATCTTCAGAACTGTCGTATAGAGCAGATGCAGGAATTTGGTAAGCTGAATGCTGCTGAGATGATCTCCGAGGAACATTGGTCGGTCTAGATGAAGAGGAGCTTGTACCCACTGCATGTGAAAATGTTCACCATACTTCCCAGTGAGGTAAGAAAACACATGCCAAGAATTACAGAGAACAAGAGCCACATGATTTCTCAATAATGTTAACCTTGACAAGACATCTCACATCTAAAAACTGATTTGTTATTGAAGCAATATTCCTACGGGCATATTGCTATTTACTAATCCTTTAACATGTCATATGCGCAAATAAAATCCAGCACGAAAACAGATTTTTTTTTGGGGGGGGGGGGGAGCATGAATTCCAGAATAACAATTAACTCTAATACCATTGCAATTGTATTTATGACACTTTGTCACAATTGTAAAATTAAATCCATGACCTCTAAGCTAAATTGTTAAGTCCACCAACATCGTCATCTACTACTCAGATCTACTATGAAATTGACAATATTATAGATCTCATGATGAATCAAATGATGAATTTATAAGCCCAAAACATGCCTGACAAATAACCAGATTGACATCATGATTATCTACAATTATAATATAATATTATTAGTTAAATATTAGTGTTTCATACTCTTAATAACAGTCAAAAACTGCTATGTTAAATAAATATGGTAATTTGCAAAGGTTGTAGTATTTTATGCCCTTGGCAGTTCAGAGTCACTAGCTTCTACACAATCAATTTGGTATGGAAAAAGTGGAAGAAAGGGAAAGAGCGAGAAACGAGATGAATAGCAGAAGAGAATCGACAGAATTAGATACAGAAAGATGAGAGATGCCCAATTGCACTTTACTCAACATCAATCAACAGGTACAAATGATTTAGATAGAGCCTACTTACAAGTGCTAATCTTCTACCTACTCCCCTAACGGCTAATTAAACATAACAGAACAATGACTACCGGAAGATAACTAACTAACGACTACTCATGTATTTTACCTAACACATATCTTCAAACATCAGCCAAATCCTTCAAAAATTGACTTGGATAAGAATATATAATCAGATACAAACCATTACGTGATGTCTGTGATTCCCGGGGCTGCACCAGAGCCTTTTCTTCCTGGGCTAGTAGATACTCATAATATTTGTAGTCAGCACATTTCTCGTCAAATAAAAACCTAAAAAATGCATTAGCATAAAATTAAAATTTATAGACCATGAGCGAAAGAACAGTTGAATATGGTCAAGGTTCACCAGAAACTTACTTGAAAGGTGTATCCCCTGGATTTTTTTGACGTGTAACATCCTCAAACTGCCTTCCATTTTTAGCCACAAAACTTGCTAGTTTCTCAGCAACTTTCTTCACTGTAGGATCACTTGGGGAAGGAGGTGCTGCATAGCACTTACAAAACTCATTAATACCGAGAGCATGAACAAGAGAATGCAAATTACCCTTGTAGCAGGCATGCCAATAGACCATTCTCGATAGGAACTTGAGGAATAAGCTGCATTCATCAGACAAATATCCAAGATATTTTATTTTCTTTGCTACAAAGTTCCAATGAGCAAAGATTGTATACACCGAGACCACCTCTTCAATAATGAAACTCTGCTCATGGGGAGAACAACTCTATTTTCAAAATGAGAAAGCAGAGGGACAAATATTGCAATTTCAACTGTATGCCTAGACAGGATGAGAAGGAATGACATATTTTGATCATGTTTTACCGATATATATCTCAAAGAAAAGCTCCAAACATGCTTCGCAGTTACAACCAAGTTCACATCCTCCTTACTCTTCCTCTATTCCATTGCATAATTATTGTAAAGATGACAAGTGCCTAATAAACTGTTTTACCCTTAAATCCTCCTACATTCCTCAGGTAGGAAAGTATATCATGCTTAAGAGATTTCATCAATTATATATCAAAATTCATTGATCAAATGTCGCCTAAGAGGCAAAGACAAGTAAATGAAAGATAGTTCCTTGAAGATATATTGAAAACATAAAATGCGTTCTCATTCATGAGCCAGATCCCAGCAGTAGACAAGAAAGGCGGCAAAAGGGAAAAGGACAAAAAGACTCTGAGAACAAATTGAAAATTTTAATCTACCATGATGGACATCAAATTCATAACCAACACTGAAATATTGACTTTGTCATGGATCTCATTCAAACTCTTTAATTTTTATAAATATCTTTCTGATGATGCAGAATATCAAAATTCATTGATCAAATGTCACCTAAGAGGCAAAGACAAGTACATGAAAGATAGTTCCTTGAAGATATATTGAAAACATAAAATGCGTTCTCGTTCATGAGCCAGATCCCCGCAGTAGACAAGAAAGGCGGCAAAAGAGAAAAGGACAAAAAGATTCTGAGAACAAATTGAAAATGGAAGTGGAGGAAGAGAATCAGAAAGCAGATCAGTACTATGGCAAAGCAGAGGAGGAGTCTCTCAAATGCTATATGAATGAACAATATTAATCAATAAAGGAAAGGACAGAAACAGTTAATATATATATTCCTCTAGTCCTATTTATAGGACAGAGAAAGAAGGCATTTTTTGGTTCTATTTATTTAGCACCAAAAGAAATTTTTTATATAGATGTACAATTTTACCCTTCATTTATTATTGTGTTGACTTTGTTTACATGAGGTATGATATATATTAAACGGGAATAAAGTTGGAAAGTTGTTGAATTTTAAATAAAAATTAATAAAGTTTAAGGTTTTTCTTGATCTGTATGAAACATGTTAGAAGTGACTTATAAATAGGATTAGAGGAGTGTGTGTGTGTGTGTGTATATATATATATATATATTTTGAGTACCCTAACTCAGCACTTTACAAGCGCATTAGACACGGAAAGAGATTATGTGAAACGTAATTACCATCATCAGATTGTCTAGAAGATCGCTCAGTGACATCTTCACGCCCCAACTTTTGCCGTTTTAGAGGTGCCTCATTCGAAACATTACTACCATCTGTTTCTTCTTCATCATCTGCACTTAACTTAACAGGTGGAGGCACTAGCTTCGACTTTTGTTTTAAACTGAATGCAAGCTTGCCACTGGAAACAGCCTGGGATGTTTTCTGTGTATTAGCCTTCAAGTCTGCAGAGATCTTTTTACTACCAGAAAGATTAGGAGTCAAAGACCCTGAAACAATTTTAATAGGTTTAGAATCCTCTAATTTTTCATTTTTCTTCTCCTGCTCTTGTTGAAGTTGCTTGAACCTCTCCATGAATGAACCATCATTAACAAAAAGGCTTGGAGGCACTCCGTCATCCATCATCAAACAGCAAATAATGCAGCAAAACACTGTCTGACCATCAAGTTTAGAATGCTTGTAAGATAATGCAATTAATCCCAAGTATGATTGTTTATTTTTAAAAAGGAAACATTTTATTTGACAAGTGAATACCAAACAGACATCATTATTCATTAACACCTTGGATTAACAATACATACAACATAACAACAATGATTACATCATAAATCATCGAGAAAAATAGTGCTTGACAGAAATTGAACTATAGCGTAAATAACGACAGATTCTAGAGGATAATATCACGGCACCAGTTCTTGAATCAAACCACCTAATACAACAAATAAGGCACCTTTTGAATCCAAAAGGCTTCAGTTTTAAAGATGCCAAATAGTCTACACATTCAATTGTTGAGTGATCAAAACAACCAGCATCCAGCATATGAAAAAACCACGACAGACAATCTACGATTCTGTGATGGTATAAAAAGTGACATTCTGGCTCTTAATTAAGGTTTGCACAGCGTGATTTAATGGTTCACAATCTGTTCTACTCCACCATCCCCTACTCTATGCTTCAATTACTTGCCGATATCAAATTCAAACATATAATTGTCGAAACGAAAACGCAAAGATGATATAAGGAACAACCACAATTAGCTAAGCATTTGCGCTATACACTGAACCCAATCCCCCCAATAAATATTTCACAACACAGACAAATCAAACAAAATCACCAAAAACAAAATAAGCCTTAGGGATCCTCTGTCCGACGAAGAGAAGAAATGAAATTTGAACAAAAAAGCATAAAACTTCATGGCGATAAGAGAGTATATTAGAGTACCTAATCGCCTTCCTCGTTGAACAAGATTAATAGGGAAAAGACCGATCTCCTCCTACAACTGATGAATTGAACAATAATTCCACCTTGATTATCAACGTCGGAGGCCGATTATGTAATATTGGATCGATGGCGCGCACAGGCGGTGACGCTCTCTAGTTGGAGGAACGTGCGGGCAAGAGGAAGAACGCCTATCGCACCGAACCAAGCTGGGGCAGCCTTGGGTATAAGACTACAAGATGATAATTGTCAAAATAAAATATTAATCCTCCTATTGTTAGATATTTACAATTCGCCCATTGGCTTTATAATTTCACTCTAAAACCCCCTCTCACTGTCTTGTTTATAGACAGGTCCCTTAACATCAAACGAGGTTTTTCCCCAACATTCAATGTTTCAATTTAATCATTCAATTATCCCATCTTTTGAAAAAAAATCCTAATAGTATTAGTCTCAAATAAAAAAATTTATATCATAATTATTATTATAAATATTAAATTTAATTTATGATCATTTATAAATATCTTATCAACATTTAAGATTTAATGTAGATATTTTTTAACAGTAGAATTAACAGTGTTAAAATTAATTCTGGTCAAAACAGTGTTAAAATTAATGAACTAAAAAAATATTTTATAAAATTAAAATAAAATCATGTGTAAGGTTCATAATAAAACTGTACATTTACCTTTATCTTTATGTGTTAGTTTTAAGAGTTAGTAATTGAGGCGAGATGGACTTATTAAGGGTGAATGTATTTATATCTTTATACTAATTAAAAATATATTTTAACTTGTTTTGGAAATTATCAATCTTGACAAAAGTTATTGCAACCTCCCACACAAATGTATTTTAAATATTCGACATTCGAAGAATAGAATAACATACGAATGAATGATATTTTGCGGTTGGACATCAACTTAATTGTTCCTATCATATGAAAATAAGATTATAATTTTATATTCCAAATGTGAGTAAATTCTGGATTATATATCTAAGATAAAGATAAGGAAATCAGAATAAGAATTGATTAATTAGGCTACGGTTAGGATATCATGGTTTTTTTTTTTAATGGATGGGATTTCATTACAAGTAATATCGGCATTTGATATTAAAGATTGAATAAATAATATATTACTTTATATTTGTGTATAAACTCCCTCCCGTTCAAAATATAAACTAAATTTTATCTATTATATTTATCAAGAAACTAATTAAAATCAATTTAAATAAATGTGTAAGGCATATATTTATTTTTTCTAATATACTCTTATTAATAAAAAGGATAAGTAAAAGATATAATAATAATTAAAAAAAAAGATATACGGGATAAAATTGAAAAAACCTCATTAAATATTTAAACAAAAGTAAATGTTATCTTATAAAAAAAATCCAACATTTTAAGAAAGCTTATCTTATATTTGAATTGGAGGGAATATATGTTAACTCCAGTCTTAAATATAAAAACTAGTTTGAGATATAATATAAAATTTTAATTTACCTTGTCTATTATATTTATTTATTTATTTATTTAAAATAATCCCCATAATGATTGTAAATGTTGAGATGTTTTCATTTCAGTACATATAATTAATAAGAGTATTATATGAAAAACAACATCACTTCATTTATTTATTTTTCACATTCAGAACTCATTTATTATAAGTAATTAATTTAAATAATTTTTTAATATTCATAAATCGATTATGCAGTTATTATAAGGGAGTGAGGTAGTATATCAAACCCCAGTGGCATTAGGATTTAGGAGGTTTGATAGCCTGAGTTTATTATATTTTATTTTCTGAATTATTGAATTTGCTTATATTAGTAATTAGTAAATTATACAAATTTTTGTATTCATAAGTGTTCCGCTATTATAACTACCGTGCCGGGTTCAACATATTGAGTAGGGGGTCGAGTCTATCTGAATGTTGTCAATAGCCAACTGCCGAGTTTTAACTATCATCATGCTCAAACTATAATACCAATGTGTTGACTTTTAAGCTTAAAAATGAAACTTTAGGAAAAATTTTGGAAAAAGCACACAAATTTTGTAAAAATGTTACTATACAATTACATAACGGAGGCTGCAAACTGAAATCAGAGCACAAACGACTGCCAGAGCGGAGAGAAATGGCTTAACGGATAGAGAGCAGAAAGCAGAACAGGAACTCTCTTACTAATGGACTCCGCTGGCCCAAATCACTGAACATAGTAACCCCTTTCCATTTCTCACCAAGAGCTTCTTGTCTTTCTCGTCCCTTCAACTTTGTTCCGTTTAAGCACACGCTTCATCTATCGCTTCCCTCTTTCCGCCTCTCTTCTCCCCGATGCTCTCTCAGTAATCACTCATATCTCTCTACGCACGTTCTCTAATCACAGATTTCTTGCTTGTTTTGTTTTTTCGGGGTGAGTTGAGTTCTGTGATATGATGCAGTGTAACTTTTGTGGTTACTTACAGATGGAGCAGCTGCGGTAAACAAGCAAGGTGCTTTGCCTCGGGGGGCTGGCGAGGCATTGGGAGGGGCATCCAATTCGAAGGTTCTTCAGGTTGTGCTGGTGTCTCCTCAGGTACATTTCAATTCAAGTGGAGATTGTTATTTTCTATTAACTATTTGTAACTTTTCCTTTCTGTTTGATGTTGTGCTAGCATACACTTCAAATGCTCCAAATTCGGGGCTCAGTCAAAAGCATATCATCCATGCCAGGTCCATCAGGAAGAAAATTCCTTATAGTCGAGCACTCTAACCCTGTGAAATTTGCAAGATTGGATTTTGAATCTGTTGGAATGCACGTAACCATACACTTAGGATATCCCCTCTTTCAGATTTGATAATAGACGTCATCAATTTGCATGGTTGATGTATGCTCATCGATGGTTTTCTGGCGGCTGCCTTTTATATGTCAGACTCGTGGGTAGTAAATGGGGATATCTGTAGTTGGGAGCATGGTGAATAACTTGCAAGATGATTAGAAAACTTTTGCTGTTTGCATAAGTGGAATTGAGTATAACTTATTAGCATTGTGACTGAATTGGCAGAAGAACAAGTTCTAAATTCTAACCTCCTAGGATGGAAATTGTCACTCTATGGAAGTATCAAATAGGTCTAGTACCGAAAAAGAACTATCAGATAGAATTTGTCTGCTAAAAGAACTGCCTTTATCTAGGGAAAGGCACAGCTACTACTCCATCTCTTATTATAAGATCCTTTTAACTAAATTACGCGGTTTAAGAAAACAGTTAAAATTAGTTAAAAGCAATTAATATGTAGCAAATATAATTTTTTTCCAAATATACCCCTACATATAATTGGGTAGATGTGAGAGAGTAATAGTGAGATAAATGAAAAAAGAGAATGTATTAAATGCATTAAACTAGGGGTAAAATAGGTAATAATACATTAAATGTTTAGACAAACTCAAAAAGAATCTTACAAAAAGGGACAAATCTATTCAAAAAATTGGATCTTATAATTGGAGATGGAGGGAGTAAATTCCAACAGTGAAACAGTGACAAAAGGATGGTTTAATTCATCCCATGATAAATTCTTTTAGCCTAGAATGACAGTCCAATTAATAGAAAAGTATCTATGATAATTGTGATTTAAGTTTAACCATGATCTCTATGACTTCTGGAAAACATTTTGACAACATTTTGGTATTACCTTCATTCAGGATTGACCGATTCCTTTCATAGATTATTTTTCTGTCTAGATCCTCGGGAAAACATTTTGGTACTACTTCATTCAGGATTAACTACTGAAAAAACCATGAGTTTGATGCAGAGTCAATAATCTGATTGGAAGTGATTGCGCCTTTCAATTTTGGTAAACAATAATGTTTATACCACCAGAAAAGCGTAGTAGTTTGGCTCTAAAGATCCTTGTTCCTTAGATGTGATTAAAATATCACAATTGCACTGAGCATCTTATCTGGTGCAATTTGGATGACTTAGATATTTATAATGTTTCCATGTTTTCGTTTCGGGTTGCAGACAACCTCAATTTCTGAAGCTGGCTCTGAGATTTATATTGTTCTTGGCAGATACCAGGAAACACTGGGTGCATTGCAAGAACTTGTGCAGCATCTGCTGTTGGACTACATTTAGTTGGGGTAGGTATTAATGTGATCTCTTGCACTATTCAGTCTATGATTGTTTTCCATTTTTGTGCCATATTGCAAAACTTTTCAAATGATCGTGGTAGTACTTCCCTATCTTTTCAGCCGTTGGGATTTCAGGTGGATGACTCAAAGCTGAAGCGTGCCGGACTGGATTACTGGCCGTATCCTTGACATATGTTTATATTTTCTTTTCTTTTTTTTCCCAGAATATTTTTTCTACCTATATTTCATTTGCAACTCTCGTGTTATTGCAGAAAAGTTATTGAAAATACAGAGGGCTGTTTGTAATTCTCTATTACTGCACAATTTAAAGGCTGACCTACTCCCTCTGTCCTCCCGCACCCCACCCAGTAACCAAAAAAAAAAAAGAAACAAAGAAAAAGAAAAACTTGCTCTGACATGATAGGATTCGTTGTGTTTCAAATTTAGCACATCTAAGAGTTTTTAACATTTATATGATGGCATCAATGCTTTGTGACTTTGCTGTAGGCACTGCAGTTGTTTGTTTTCCGACTTATTCATGTTTGTAGATATGTGGTTGTTAAAGTTCATGATTGTTGGGAAGATTTCCGTGATTATTTCAGGCAACAGGTAATTATCATTCCAAAAGGCGAAAGCCAGATAGTTTCATTATGATCTTTCTTTGACTCCACGATTGACCATTGTTTGGAACAGGAGGGTGAAAAGCGATTACTTGCATTTACAAAAAGGGGAGCAAAAGTTCATTCTGTGAGTGTCGTTTATGTTGAATAGCTTACTCCCTTCAATAATAGCATCTCTCTCCAATGCATTTTCGCCTGCTAATGGATAGACCTGTAACTTCTGTCGTTAGTTCTCCAAAGGTTTCATCCCTAACACTATAAATATTTTTTCTGTCTGCTTGGAGAGCCAAGTATTGGGAAGAAAGAGAGCAAAGGGGATTACTTCTGCTTAACATGATTATATTTTTTTCACCTACAAGGGAATACAGTTGTGCAGATTGACTTCAAGAAAACCATAATTTTGATTTGGCTTCTTTTATACCTTGCAGGAGTTTTCCTATAGAAAAGGAGACTACCTTTTATTTGGTTCTGAAACTAGCGGGTTGCCAGCTGAAGCCCTGCAAGACTGCGCCTCTGAGTCATTTGGTGGCGGGACAATCCGGATCCCAATGGTAGAAACTTATGTCAGATGTTTAAATCTTTCTGTGAGTGTTGGCATAGCACTATATGAAGCTTGCAGACAGCTAAACTATGAACACATTCAGGTGCCTTCTGTAAGTTGTACTGATACTGAACAAGCATTTCTTACTGAGGACATTTTTGCTTGATCGCATATGCTGTAGCCCATAGTTGTTCTAATTTGACACAGGTAGAAAATTCTTTGTACAACCTCTGCTCTATTAAGCATGATTCATGATTAGAAAAAGCTGTACAAGTATTTACTATCCAATTATTTATCTCTACCCCTCCCATTTTAATGAACAAATTGTCTCTAGGTTGATAATTTTTGGGAAGTTGGAGGCTTAGAGCCTTCCCTACAAGAGATTCAAGCTCTTTCTAAGTACAGTGAGACTAAACTAATATCAAATAGGATTGCTTTCAATAAAAAAAAGTAGGAGTTTGAAATTAAAAAAAAAATGTCTGACTACCTACCAAAAATTCTTTTGTGATTAATTATGCGGTAATAAAAAAAACTGCCATCCTTCATTTAATAGAGGGAACTCATACACCTATAATATCTATGAAAAATCAAACTCACAACCTCACACTCAAAGAGAAATGGGAAAGTGATTAGTTAGTATCATTGCCTCAGAAGGCCCCCACAATTTGAACTAATAACTCGAATGCAATATTTGTTCAGTTACATTCTTAAACTTGAGTCAAAATTTTAATCAAGTTCAACGAGCATATTCTTCCAGACAAACTACTGATAACTAAATTGTTTGTAAGTTTAAGAGCTTAGCATATGAATATAGTTTGATTCAATTATTAATTCCATCCTTAAACTTTGATCCAAAATATAGTTTAGTGAGTTCGTAAATTATAAGGACTAAGTTGTTGTAAATCAAAAATTTACAAGAAGTAAATTGTTTAAAGTCAAGATTTTTTTTTTTTTTTTTTTTTTTGCCAACATAAAGTCAAGAATTTATAGGGGAAGGGCTTATTTGATCATTTTTCTCATTTGAGTCGTTTCTCATTTTTAAAAACTATTACTTTTGACCTTTAATATAAAACTAGAGGGAATTGAGTTTAATCTTAAATATAAAATCACAATCTCATTGTTAAAAACTATTACTTTTGGCCCTTAATATAAAAATTAATAAAGAGCTGAGTTTAATCTTAAATATAAAGTCTTAATTTATTTTATCCTGCATGCTCATCATTTTTTTCCAACCACATTACACAATGTTATGAGAGTTTAATCAAGATTTAGTTTCAATGCAAATGATTTATAAGGAGGACAAGCCACGATTCGTTAAAAATGTAACAATATTTTCAAGTTATCAACATCATGGCCACTAAATGGCGAAAGTAGACATGATGCACCGAGTCAAAATAAAAAAAACTATCATATAATCATATCGTAATTTTTTCTTTGCTAACACTTAACTTTCGAAGTGATTATCACAGTATTATGCGACTGATCAGACCCCCATACAATATGCGACTGATCAGACCCCCCATACAAGGAAATGCCTTAAGGACAGGCAAAGCTAAGCTCGAGCTTGCTAAAATCTCAAAAGTTGGTTCGACTAATACATAGGGAAAACTATTTAAAAATTCTTCTCCTGTTGACACTGGTAATCCAGGGCTGAGGAACATCATCATGAGCCAAGCAATTTCTTCAGTTTTTCCATGGCACTGTATTGACAATGGTCAACATACTTGAGATTTTCAGCCAAAAAAAAAAACAGAAAGAAGAGAGAGAGAGAGAGACCAAAAAAAAAAAAGAGAAACGGTGAGAGAACGGAGGTTTCAAAATTTCACTTGTTTACAGTAGACCCTTACAATCAACAAACATCTATAGTGAAAATTCTCGTCAAAGAAAGCTATAAGTTGAATTTAAATCGGAATTGCCGTCCACAAGTTCTAATATGAGTTAGAAATATTCAAGCAAGGATCAACAGGAAACGTAAAACCAAGCCATTTATAAATTTCCTATGACTAGGCTGGGCATGGATGAATCTATTAGGGGAAAGAATAAAATCAAATTACCTATCTGAAAAGGAAGGAACCAGGTCTTCAACTACACGACAATAGCTGAATTTCTGACATCTTTTTCAGATGAAGATGAGATGACTGTTCTGCTGCTGCTGTATGAAATTGAACATTAGAAATCATGTGCCTAAATGTGGATACAAGTATTGCAGTGCAAGAAACTCAACCGAAAAAAACATTAATTACATACCATGACATGTAAATACAGAGCAGTGAGTAGGGTATGCTCAAGGGTAATGATGAAATATTTCAGTCTTTATTAACAGGCAAAATGGTAGAAAATTAGAAACTGAAAATACCTTTGACATCTTTAATTTCATCATCACCTCTCAAATATAAACTCTGATTAGCAAACTCCCACAACAAATGACCAGTAAGTTTATGAGCATGCATACTCGTCTCATCACAAGCATCTTGAATGATAAGTATTGGTTCTCCCTCTTATCGTTATTGGTGGGCTCAGGTTCAACTGCCTCACAAACAAAATTTGTTGCTACGTTTCCGGAACCATCCCAGCATTACATTCCCACAAATTATGTCTTTCAACAAAATTTTCACCTAACACTCTCTCAGGCAAAACAGTTGAAGAATTGCAATTTTTCTCATCAGACATAGAGGACGTTGGATGAAAACCAAATGGTACAAACTGCCCAATGCTTTCTGCGTTGTAGTTTGAATCCATTGAATCAGAGTTACCATTTATCAAGTGTCTATCCTCCCCTATTGGACAATCATCAGTCAATTTCACTTTCTTCTAATCTCTTCCCCATATGCATCGTTAAAATCTTCATCAAACCCATGGTCAGGCAACAAATCCAAAACAATTTGTTTTGTCTGAGCACTGAAACTTAATATGTAATCAATCTCTTCTTCAATTTTCTCCTTCTTCTTCTCTAATAATTGTAGAGGGCTCTCCCCCAAACTCCCATTAATAGAATCTAAGATCTTAAATAGACTCTTTGGTATTCTCTCCATATCATCACACCCAAAAAGAAATTCAGTCAAAAATTCTGTAAAAGCTGACCGTAGTATCTTCCTTGATATTTTAGCTTTTGGTTCTAAGAGGGTCTTCAATTTTCTCAGCTTTGGTATTCCCACTTCATTTTCAACTAACCATATAGCTTTCATAATATCATTCTGCAAGGACTTTACTTCAGGTGAGAACTGGTAAAATTCCTCTGAAAAAATGTCATTACAACGTGTTACAAGTTTTAGTGATAAGTCAGCCACTGCCATAGCTTTGGCTAAGGGCTCTTGCAGTTCATCCCCTTCACCGAGTTGAGAAAGCATTTTCCTACTGATATTCCTCACTGTTTTACTCACCTTTTTTCTCTGTCTCCATTCCTTTCTGCTGGTCCGTAACTGAGGTATGGTTGCTTTCACTCCCTTGAGCTTTCCACGCATTGCAATCAGGGTTTGATGTGGAAAGCAATTTAAGCCATCCAATACCTTTTTTACGGCAGAATGGTTACATTGGGATCTTGAAGCAGACAAGTGTTTGCAATTATGTCGAAAATGCTGTTGATTATTGAAAAGTTCAAAAAGCTGTCTGAAAATTTCCACTTGATAAGAGTCACGGTTTTGGTTATTAAGAGCACTTGAAAGAAAACTCTTGACAATCTTCTTCAATTTGCAACGAGTTTTCTCATACTTGATTGAACCACCAGTAATTGTCATGGCAAGAAGATATAGACCTCTGGTAGTCATCTCGTCCAGGCATAATATCATCCTTTTAATGGTGGGTATGCCAACCGACATAGTCATAAAGAAACATACCTCTTCATTCAGAAACACAGCCAGTAAAATTGGTTATGATAAAGAACGAGAAAAAATTTTCCAATTTTATTAGAGGAAAGCAGCATGAAATTTCCAAACAGTTTTTGAAGTTCTGAAGCCGCCTCTCAATTCAAATAAGTTGCATATGTATACATAAGAATGTTCACAGGTAATAAAGAACAACAGGTTTATTTTATGCAAAAAGCACAGACTAATTCAAATCAAGAAGAGACGAAAAAAATACCATACTAGAAAATAAAAATATAAAACATATGATCCATGCAACCATGACCTTAAGCTTTCTTAATAGAATATGTAGATAGAAGAGAATGAGGATATTTACATCGTCTTCTCTAAGCAAAGACTCATCCAAAAACCTATCTTCTAAAAACTTAGACTTCTTGAAGCGCTTGTGATCAGACTTTGAAGCGGCAACACCCAACAACCACCTACACCAGATCAAATTCTTATGCAAAGTAAGAAAGGAAAATTTAGTTTAAAAAAAAAAAAATCAATGAAGTAAGGAAATACCTTCTCTTAAGTTGAATCTGCTTCTCGTCATACTTGATTCCAGACATAATGAATCCAGCATCTGATCGATGAACCACAGTTTTGAAAAGAGGAGCCTGGAAATTGAATCCATTCACAATACACCATTATATCAATTGTTAAGCTCCTTTAAAATACTGGCCAAAGATAAAAATTCCAATTCTAAGCAACAATAAATTTGAGGAAAAAAACATTTTGGCTGTGTCCCACGCTAAAATCTGGGCCTGGTGACTTGCACAGGTACCAGAAAAAATCTCATTTCATAAGCCTAAAAGGATCACTAGAATTACACTACTATTACACACCATTGAACTTGTTGGGAGGCCTTCGTCCATTGAACCCATTTACTTTGGAACCCCAGTTTATCTGTTTTATTTTACTATAGCTATTATATTATTGTTAGTATATTATGTAATTATCTCTTGGGCTGCAGAATCACATCGTTCTCGTTTATTTTATTTTGTCGACCATTGAGAGGAAATTTTATGGGACTTAGTCTACCTCTCTCTCCCTATATGTGTATTCTAGGAGCTTGACGAATAATACATCCATTTTTGCACGGGAGAATCTCAGAACTCAACTACTAGCACACTCAAAGGAAGAATCAGATGAAATTAAATAAATCCCAAATCCGCACTATAGTGACTCTGATTTATTAATTGAATCACTCAAAAATTTCCACAGAAATTTTGGCCGTTTGTCCCCTGAGAATAGAACATCAAAGATTTCTCTGAAGCACCAACAGCAACACGATAGGAGAGCTCTGTTTTCAGTTATTATCAACTACTGTAGCCTATGGTGCTGCAACTAAATAGGGAGACCATACAATAAAAAGGAATAATTTTGCCATGCGAAACAATCATCTGCAACAGTGACCACCCTCGCTCAACCCGTATGTCATCAGCCAAAACAGAACACAAAAAAAAAAAAAATGGTTTTCCTTTAAAAAATGGGGGTGCTGCAACTAAATAGGGAGACCATACAATAAAAAGGAATAATTTTGCCATGCGAAACAATCATCTGCAACAGTGACCACCCTCGCTCAACCCGTATGTCATCAGCAAAAAACAACAGGACAACAAAAAAAAAAAATGGTTTTCCTTTAAAAATGGGGAAGGACTCAAGGCTTACATTCTCCGGTTCCATTAGAGCAAAACGAGAACGAGCTGCTAAAAAAAGTTCAGAGGGGCCAAATAGACTCCTTCATAGGAGCGGTACTCAAAAGGCCAACGCTCTCGGAGCATGGAGACTATTGCTTCTGTTTCTTTCCGTACGGAGCCGCCTTCGTCGCAAGGCTCGCCGCAGCTACCTACGCCGTCAGCGGTTTTACTATGTCAATGTTAGCCTTCCAGTAGCCGACGTTTATCTGAAGGCTCCGGGAACGAGCGGGGCAGGGCAACCTTTTACGAGTGGATGGCGGGAGGAGCGAAAGCTGGACGGTGAGCCGTGAGTGGGCACGGCACGGCTTCTCTGCTGGCGCTGGGCCAATGTTTCACCTGATGACTGGTGTGATGGGCATCGTACTGCACTAAAATTCTAATTTCTACGCGGGGTAAAAAGTTATCAATATTATTTTAATCAAAACAGATGAATTAAAATTAATACTACCACCGGTCTTTAATATAATATTTCATTTAATTTTTATTTTGGTTCTAAATATGAAATCCTGATTCATTTTGTCTCTAATATTTATATTTTTTTTTTTAAAATAGTTCTTCTTATAATAGTAGTTCTAACCAATATATTTGATTAGTAAAAATATTTTAGTAAAGACAACATTTATTTATGACAAATAACTAATTGAACTTCTTTTCTTAATCTCCTCAAATTAGTCAACTAACTCTTATAATTAGGATCGGAGATAGTACTAGTATATTTTATTTAATAATTTAATAATATAAAGAAATCATATAAATTTTTTTGCCCACGAAGAAATTATATAAATTTACTACTCTTTCTCTTCCTTATTATAAGAGACATTTGATGCTTATAGCATGTTTCTATATATAAGAGACACTTACAAGTTGTCTCTACTTTTTTTGTGTTGATTTTCTATTTTACCCATATTTATTGTCTACAACTCACTCTCTCTCTCCCTCTCACTTCTCTTTCTTTTAATAATTTAATTGTTCTCTCTCACACTCTCTCCTTATTAATAAGGGCATTTTGAAAAAAATTATACTTTTTACACATTGATTGTTCTTAACTAATTTTAACTATTTTTTTATCAACGTAATTCGGTTATTCGTTTCTTATAATAAGAAACGGAGGGAGTATTACTCATTCATCTTTTTAAAATATATATATATATATATATATTAACTGTGGTTGAGGTAATTGATCAACAAAATTATTTAATCCGTGGTCAAAAAAAATTATTTAATACATCAATCAACAGTTAATATATATTTTTTTGTTAAATAATTTTTATGCTTAATTTGAATTATTTGAATTTTAAAGTTTTATAATTTGTAATAAATTCTTAATATACTTATTTTATTTTATACTGTCCTTACATAAATCAGAATCTTCAAATCACCCCCACTCTTACCAACTTATATAGAATTTGAATTTAAATTTATTATAAATTTTTATTTAATATTAGTAATATTTTTAATTTAGTTTATTACACTGTTAGTTTATGCTTTCATTTTGATTTTCTCTTGACACTATTCTTTAAGTTAGATAATGATAATAATTCAACCACAATTTGTTAACATTAAAAAAAAATAAGCATGAAAGAATCATATATTTCAAATGTATATATTTTTCATACCAAAATTATATTTTAAAAAAATTATCAAGTAATCTGTCATCTTCCAAAATCAGATTTATAAATCATTCCATTTCAACAGAATTATTTAAAGATAAAATCTAGAACATTGTAGCAATGCTAGCAGTTGCAGTCAGCAGAGCCATACCCTAAAACGATGGCGACTTCAGTTTCATCAGTATAAACTATACTTCTCCGTCTTTAATATAGGATCTAATTGTTGCGTTAGCTCTAATCCTAAATATAAAACATATTTATCATATTTATTAATTTTCTCTAAATTACCCCTATAAATACTCTCTCAACTATAATCAAGTAGAATAAGAAAAAATGATTATGATATTTTAGAAAAAACATATTATATTTTGTATAATTAACTAAGTTACATAACTTCATTAATCTAATCAAATTAGTTAAATGAGTCTTATATTAAAAACCGAAGGAGTAACTTTTATATTAATGAATTTTTTTAACTACACATGCAAAGACACACCCTGCAAACATGCTACTAGAAAAATATGCTTATAAATTTATTTATGAATTACATGATAATCCTGCTTCAGCACCATTCCTTGTACATCTTTCAGAATATCTATGCTAACACAAAAGCATTACCCCAGCGAAACACTTCGAACTCAAATCCCAAAACCATATGAAGTCCTCATTTCCTTTGAACAGTTGTGTTGCTTCTATAGGACGGCTGCCATAGGATGTAAGCAAAACCAGTTTGAGAGAGATCATTTAGTGGGGTCATTCTCCCATACGTTGTCCCAAGAAGCACTTGGGGCAGCCTTGGGTCCCTCAATGCTGTTCATATTTTCATAGGAATTTGAGGGTCCTGGCAGAGCAAGTCCATTTGGACCTTGTGGAAGGGGGGGCCTAGGCTTTGTTTTAACCCCAAGTAGCCTCAACACAAATCTTGCTAGTTCTCCATACAACATACCCGAGCGATCAAAAAGCTGCAAAAGAGAAAAGAAATAATTAATATCATACTGGAAACACAGAAAGCAATCTTCGGGCATGAGATCCGTGAATGGCATGTAATTGGATATGCTTTCAAAACACCCATGACGAATGAAAGGATTTGGTTACAAACTCCAACTGTTGGAATACTTGGAGATATCGAATATGGAAGTATCAGGTAAGGACTGGATTTTTATTTTGCCCTAATAATTCTAGACATTCCCTGAAAATATAACCTAAACAACTCAGCAGTTCTGAGAAAACACTCCCGGACATAAAAACCAACTTATACAAAATGAATCCTTCCGAAAATAGTTTTGCTCAGGCTATTTCCCTATTCAGAGCAATGGTTTCATGGCAACCTCGAACACTAATGCATACAAGATTTTTATGACTGCAATTTAGGTAAAACTCCTTTAGTGTTGGCTATTAGGTTCTCTAATAGAGACATGATCTATGAAGAATATTCTTTTGAAAAATATAATCCGGATGTTGAGCTGGAAAAAAGATTCCGCTCATTTTTTTCTTGGAAAAATTAATCGCAAACACCACATGTATCTCAGTATTATCTTTTTATTTTACACGACCAGCATCAAAAAAGATACAAAATTAGAGATTAGACAAAATAATGTAAATGGACGGAGAATGGCCAGAGATAAAACCTGAAGAAGAGCGGTCATGAACATATGGAAAGCCTGCGTGTTCTGGTCTATGAGGATTGATATCCGACCAAAGAAATTAACCACGCCTTGCATCTGCCATTAAAATAAGTAATAAGTATTCAAATCGGTTCCAAAGTAACATGAGTTTTTTTTTTTTTTTTTGCCTCCAAAGTAGCATGATATGACCACATTTGTATTAAAAAAAAAAATCAATATAATGGGAAAAAACACAGAAAGAGGATGGAGGGGGGAGAGAGAGAATGGGAATGCATACAGAATATCAAGTACATTTCTTCCACTTTTTTACGACACTTTTCTCCTGATTCCTAATGACAAGATGTTCCATATCAAATCTCTAACCCGGCAAAAATCAATCACATTATCCCAGTCTCTTGAATTTGGACACAACTCACTCACACGCCTAACTAATATCTCATCAGAACTCAAACATGGGTTTTGGAATCCTCGTTATGGCAAATCAGCATGCAAAGACAACATGGATTGTACCAGGCAGAGGTTATCATAAAAAATAGAACGCAAACACACGCCTGTATTGTGCAATAAATTGTCAACAATAAAGAATTATATAACTTCATGACTTAAACATCCAAAGAGGAAGAAATGCAAGCTTATGTCAGATGTGCATATCCATGTTGCAGGAAATTAATTTAGCCAAGGCATTATATGGCTCACCACACGAAGAACAGAAATCCAAAATCCCGGTGGAGATGGAGGAGCACCATAGGGATCATTGGGATCTTGACCCCCCAAAGGACCGCCCATGCCATAACCACCCATTGGGCCACCAAGGCCACCCCCATACATCCCGCCTCCATACATCCCTCCACCATACATCCCACCAGATGATCCATAAAGCCCACCATATCCTCCCCTGTACATACTGTTACCATACATTCCTCCACCATACGTCCCTCCTAATCCACCATAAGATCCATACATTCCAGATCCATAGCCAGAATTGCAATTCATTGTAGAACCATAACCTGCAGCATAAAAGAAAAGTCAAAAATTTGTAGAAATAAATGACAAAAGAAAAGTTCATAAGGAGATGAAGGAAACCAAATATACCTCCATAGCTGTTGTTTCCGTAGTTCTGCTCCCAAGGCCTTGTGGGGACTGGCCTCCCAAGAGAATTCCTGTTAGCAGTTGCAGTCCTATCAGAACTAGAAACTATTTCCCCAGGTTTTGCAGTCCCTGAAGCCTCAACTACAGCACTTGTGTTGCCGTCTGATGGGGGTCTAAAAGGTGCTGGGCCAGATGAGGATCCTGCACGTTCCCACGGTTTTGGTGGAGGACTACTAGCTGCAAAACATATATTTATTCACATTAAGAAAATGTCAAGTAATTCTTTAGGAGTTTTTTTTTTGGGGGGGGTGTTAAGCATGATAGTAAACATAAGCATAACAAAATAAGGAATTTTCAAACCAAACAAATCAAGGTATGTTGACCACGACAAGTAAAGCAAGCAATCCTATCTACAGTAACTATTCATGTGCATAGTTCTGATCGAATAAATCCAAAGATTTGCAGGAGAATATACTAGATCCTTTTGCTCATTTTATATGGAAAGCTCAGATGAATAAATCTCTAGTTTTAAACTCTATCTTCTCAATCCAGCCACAAACACCGCAAGTCAGAAAAGGGAGTACACTGCCAAATAATATCGTGGCTACCAAAGCCTCTAAACCGTAATGATCAAAATAGTAGAGGGTCAGCAAAGCCCCTGCTCATAAGAAAAGCAGTTGCAGAATTAAGTTGTGTTATAAACCCAGTGACTTGGAATTGGAGGACTGCACTGCCAGGCCATATTTTTCAGATTCAAGTTAACTGTATTTTCTAAGTTTATTATTACCCAAAACAAGTTTTCTGTCTTGGACAGATTAACCACTAAAACCATTTCTCCCTTTTAAGTAAATACATGGAATGACGTGATCATCTCATTCGATTGTATAGACCTAGTATAAAAACACATGTTTACAAATAACAACGAGAGTTAGATGCGACATGTTTACAATGTAGCCTAAAGATCCTTCACTCAGTACCACGAGGCCTTGATATATCATATTACATATAAATATGTATGGGGAAAAACAGAAAACAAATAACAGACGCACACTGAAGGCCAGATTTCGCTAATATAGCAGATGTGAAGTTAGCCTGTTACAAGTTAACAAGAGAAAAACGTTAAAGGAAACTTTAGAGTTTAGAGGATGAATATTCATGACAACATTCAACAAAAAAGAAAATCAGCATGTTCAGCCTTCGGGATGCGAATTAAAAGTACATAACACATCCAGGCTTCTAATATTTGAGACTAGCAGGTAACAAAGTAATTATTTTCAGAACCGCACCCGGGAACAAAATGAATTAGATTAAACGAGAACAGCAAACCGTTCCAGACACATCTTTCATGCTGTGCAAAACAAGTAATAACCATCTTCTCAGAATCAATTACCGCCTAAACAATTAAGTATGAACAGTCTAAAGTCAAATTAAAAAAAGAAATCTTTATCGGCAATGAAGTGCGCCCTAACAAACAGCGCCAACATGCAGAATTGCTTGAACTAAACAATCTAACCTATATGTGATGGAAAATTCATCAATATCCGACTAAAATCGATCCCCTAGCTAAACGAATTAGACCAGATAATAAGGATAAACGGTACATAGAAAGATGAGAGAGGTCGCGAACAAAAGTTTCGAACTTCGTGAGAAAAGTTGCGGTCTTACGAACCTGATGACTGGGGCTTCGATTCCATGAGAAATCAGCATAAGATTGAGATGAACGAGCTCCCTCTCTCTCCCACCTCTTTCTCTCTCTAAGTTGTTGAAGACGCCGAGGCTTGGTTTATCGTCGCAGGCCGCCCATGAGGTATATCCTCTGGATCTCACCCAATAAATGTTTTATTACGAGGAAGACGCGTAAGGACAGTGAAGTCTTATAATCCCTCAAAATTAATTTTTAAACTAAACTATACATCTATTCTTCTAATTTTATATCATATTTTAATTTTAGTCACTAACTTTAAAAAATATATTTTTATTTATTTAATTTTAAAATTATTAGTATTAAATAATAATTTTTTATAATAATCATGTCTGTTTTAAAAACTAAACTAAATATATTAATATTTGAAAATCTTTTATTAATATTTAAGATCTCAGTATTATTATTTTTTGTTAATGGTTTTATAAGTGGCTAAAAATATATCTTTTAAAGTTAAGGGATCAAATTAAAATATTTTATAAAATTAAAAGATTAAAATATACCTCAACCAAATTTTATTAAGATTTGGGGATTATTCTAAAATTATTTTTTTTAAAATCACATAATTAATTTTATTTTGCGCCACTTTCCGTTCCAGACTGAAATACTGATAACAGCCCTCTAGTTTCTCTATAATAAATCACAAATCATTCAACGTTGAAGGCCTTACTTGATATATTCAAAAGATTTTTAGTGGGATAGATATAGGAATCACAAAATACTTTTTATATTCGTAAGAATGGAAACAAAATATGAAATATATTTGGTGAAATAAAAATAAATTAAAGAAGAAATGGAAATAAATATGAGTAAATGATCATCATAATAATCTTACCAAAACTACCTTTAACTCAATGTAGAACAAGTGTTTATGGTAGACTAATTATCTTGCTTATCTTTCCAGGATGAAGGTTACTTCCCATCCATTTTTGAACAAAAAAGTGCATAAGATGTTTAAAAAAAACAAATGGATCCAACTGACTCCTTTCTATTAACATGAACCATGTGAGATTGTTGTTCCGATAATAACAGTAACAAATAATTAGAAAATATTTGGATAGAAACGAAATCATGATTTTAAAAATGATTTTACAATATATAGAGGAGTTTACTTCAATTTACAAAAAAAATGTTTTTTTTAATAGCATTTTTATGGTTTTTCAAATACCCTCTTAATTCAAGTCTATATTTGCTTTTGGTAACCCGTTGTTGTGCACATGAGCCCATTCCCCTCGGTAGCTTATTTACTAGCCCAAAATTACATATTAGTATTTACACTCTATAAAATTGAGTGACATTGTTAAAAGCAACTACAGCAGAAAATTAGTTAATTTTTGAATAAAATTGAGTAACATTATTAAGCACCAGTAACACCACCAGTCTTAACCAAGATCCATCCTGTAAATCTAAAGTGGAGGCTGATCAAAAATACAAAAGTTTTCTTCTCATCTATAAGAGACTTTACCCGTCCAATCAGCAACTATTAAATGTTTCGTATCCATATGCCTAATCAAAGCCTGCCAATCCATATTGATAATGGCTCTATCCACATGTCTAATTGGAAGTATAATTTTACTCTTCATTTATTATTACGTTGATTTTGTTTAAATGAGATATAATGTATATTAAGTAGAGATAAAGTTAGAAAGTTGTTAAATTTTAAATGAGAGTTAACGAAATTTAATATTTTTCGTGGTTTATATGAAATATGTTAAAAGTGACTTATAAATAAAATTAGAGGAATATACTCTTATACTTCCACACTTTTAAACATGGGATTTTTTTTTGTTTTCACACACCCACACATACACCATAATGATCCATTGCAGTCTTATTCTTATCTACTGCATGCAAAATCTTTCGTTAACATTTAGGGTATGTTTGGATTGGCGTTGGGTAAACTTGACTTCTAACCCAACTGACTTTTGTAACTGAAGTTAGAGTAAAAGTCAGTTAAGGTATGTTTGGATAGGTGCTTTTAAAAAGTCAGTTGAAAAAGTTAAAAGTTGTTTGGATGATTAATAGAAAAGTAAGTTTAGTTGTAAAATGACTGAGAAGGACATAGACTTTATTGAATAATAATGTTTGATATTTTATGTTTTCAATATGATAATTGTTAAAAAAATACCTAAAATTATTATGATAAAATAAAAATAGTTTATTTGTGAAATTATAAAATATTAATTTATTTTGTTCTCAAGTAATCCCTGTAATGATTATACATATTAAGGAATTTTTATTAATGGGTAGTTTTAATACACATGATTAACAAAAATATTTTAGACAATATAACATCAATTTATTATAAATAAGTAACTTAATTAATTTTATTAATATCTTCAAATTAATTATCTAATTCTTATATTAAAAATATATAGTATCAAATTATTGGGTTTGTTAGGGGTAATTTTGTCTTTTTCCATTACCATCTTTTCTCTCTTCACGTTTGTGACAGCAAAAGCTCAAAAAATTAGTTTCAGCATTAGGCGTCTTTTTACTCAAAAATTCATTTGCAAAAACGCTCATCCAAACATTTGTTTGAGTATTTATCTGCTAGTAACGCTAGTTTGCGCCATTCCAATGCACGTTTTCTGTTGAAAACGTTGATCCAAACATGCGCTTAGAGTTTGCAATAAGAAAATGAAAGAAATTTAATATAATATTTGGTCTCTCAAACTTCAAATTACAGATTTTAGTTTTTTAAGAGATCAAATGGTTTAAATTTTTTATTAAGTTATAAGGATTAATATTTTAAATAAAAAATTTAAAAAACTAAAATTTATAATTTAAAATTTAGAGGATCAAAATCAAAATGAATATAAATTTAACAGACCAAAAGTAGTATGTGTTAGCCCAATGAACGAGATTACCCATTGATGTGTAAACAGTTGTTAGGAGACACGAGCAATGCTTTATCTGCCAACTCGATCATCACGTATGATTGCGCATCCATGACCTGATAATTAATTAAAAGTCAGGGAAATCAATTTTAAAACTATTTAACTAAGATACCAAAAATCCAAAATACTCATCAACATTATTGTACCACGTTTTCTGCTATGTAATGATGTTATGCGATTTCCTCTCTCTTTATGCATATAATCATTTGATCTCTCATGTTAACAAGTTAGAATTTAATCCCTCTTGTGTTAAAATACAAAAGTTAGTCAAAACATTTACTTTAGATTTTAATTTATTTTATTTCTTAGATTTATAATTATCTTCTCAAACTACCCTATTGCACATATTAAAGAAATTTTAATCAAAAGATTGTTAAAATACAATTTATTAAAGATGATATATTAAGAAAACTAACATTAAAAAATCAATACAAAACTTATTTCATATACTTACCTCATACACTAAAAAAAATCACTTTTAAAAAACTAATCCAAACACTTATTAATAAATCATTAATCCTATGAAGAGAAATTGTGTTCATCACAATTACCAAGCTACATTTAGTTAAGCAATATGCTGGTTTATATGTGAATGTATGCTTCATCAAATTTTGAGTAAGGGTCTAATCATAATGTGGCAAGAAAACATCATAATGCGTGAAAAGGGCACTTTAATGATTGGATTTTGGATTTCAAGGGGAATCATCATGGGGTGATCACCGATTTTGGGTGACCACCGATTTCCACTCTAAAATCACGCATCAATAATTTACGGATGCCACTTTGTAAGGTTTTGATATGTGACATGCATTAACCAATATTAGGGGAAAAAGGCTTTAATTAACATTTGATCATTATAAGTGAAAAAACAATGGGGCATCTTTTTTTTTTTCTCTCTTTATATACATATATAGTATTTCTTATAACAACATTGATGAGTTACTACTATAACCCTATTTATAAGACTTCTCTCATTTTTTATAATTCTACCTGTTTTCTCAAAGTATTGTTAATCTTGATAGTTTTCAAGATAAGGACCTAGACTCTTCTCAAAAGTCATGTAATATTTAGCTGATATTTGTGTGTATGCATAAAAAAAAAAAAGGATCCTATTAATTAGATTAAGTTTTTAATCCATTTTATTAGTTATTTTTATAATGTTGAAGAGAATTAAATTTTTTTCATATATGCCCATATTAAAATCATGATATTAGAGTAGAAAGAGTAAAAATTATTATTACCTCTGGTTCTTAATATAAGACCTTGTTTAAATTTTATTTTGGTCTTATTTTGTCTCTCATATTTATCTATTTTTTTCAAAATAGTCTTTCTAATAATAATAGTTCTAAATAACAAATTTAGTCAGTAAGGATATTTTAAGAAAAATAATATCTATTTCTTACAAATAACTAACTTAACTAAACTTCATAATCTCTCCAAATTAGTTAATTGGGTCTTATAATTAGAACCTGAGGTAGTATAACAATAGAGTTTGTTTAGTATAATTATTAAGAATAATAATAAAAATAAACTCAATTTTACAACAACTTTAATACTTTAACTAACTTTTGAACATTTTGTCAAGTTAAAAGTGACTTATGTTTTTATATTGATATTATTTTTGAAATATATCATCATTGTCAAACATTAATGATTAATTTGTTTTAATTATTCTAAAAATGTCACATTTTTAAACTTTACGTAATTAAAAGAAATTTAACGAAAAAGACATTTATAAAATCAAATTCATTCCTTTAACATTTTTCAAGACATCAGGATGATGATAGGCATAGGCAACTCAATTATATGCACACACATTTTACTGTTTTTGGGCCATGATTAAGATCAATCCATTTTACTGTTTTTGATAGATAAAAACACACACACACACACATATTAGCTTTTCATTTTAAATTAATCCCACCTAGAGTTCTTGACCCCACCAATTGCATGTGGCATGTGCAAGACATTGATGAGACTCAATGGTAATAACAGTCACCTCATCAGGGGTATTTTAGTCACTAAACACGTATATAATCTTCCAAAGTTTCGAGCTCCCTACAAAAGCGCAAGCTCTCATCCTCCTCCTTCGTCCAGAGAAGCCTTAGCCTGCAAAGCGCGAACACACACTCTCTCTTCATTCAAGTCATGGCTTTCTCGCCCTTGTTAGTAGTTACTTTGATCCTTGCCGTTACTTCCGCCGTCAGTTCATGCTCGTCGTCGGACCGGGAGGCACTTCTGTCCTTCAGAGCCGCACTCACCGACCCTTACTTGGGCATCTTCAACTCCTGGAATGGCAGCGACTGTTGCCTCAACTGGTATGGCGTTCATTGTGATCCCACCACCCACCGCATCACCGACATCAACCTCCGCGGCGAGTCTCAGGACCCGATCTTCCTGAAGGCTGGCCGCTCCGGCTACCTTAATGGAACAATCTCGCCTGAGATTTGCCGCCTTGATAGCCTCACGAGTCTGGTCCTAGCGGACTGGAAGGGAATCTTCGGGGAGATTCCGTCCTGCATTACCTCCCTCTCCTCCCTCCGCATCCTCGACCTTGTCGGCAACAGCCTCACTGGCGAGATTCCGACGGACATCGGGAAGTTGCAGGACCTCACCATTCTGAACCTAGCTTACAACGCTATCACCGGCAAGATCCCGGCGTCGATCGTCACCCTCGCAAACCTCAGGCACCTTGACCTCAGTCGCAACCAGCTCACCGGCGAAGTTCCCTCCGATTTCGGCAAGCTCCGCATGCTGAGCCGCGCATTGTTAGGCCAAAACCAGCTCACTGGTCCAATTCCGACTTCCCTTTCCAACATGAAACGCTTAGCGGACTTGGATCTCTCGATGAACCGGATCTCCGGTTCTATTCCGGACCAACTCGGCAAAATGCGGGTCCTCTCCACCCTCACATTGGATTGCAATTCACTTTCTGGTCAAATACCTTCAAGTTTATTAAGCAATCGGGGCATGGGCATCCTAAACTTGAGCCGAAACAGTTTGGAAGGCTCCATACCCAACGTATTCGGGTCAAAATCATACTTCATGGTATTGGATTTATCCCACAACAAATTATCGGGTTCAATACCCGTTTCGTTAGCATCATCCAAGTTCGTCGGCCACCTAGACTTCAGTAACAATCACCTTTGTGGAACCATCCCAATCGGGTCTCCATTTGATCATCTCGATGCGCCATCGTTTAGCAACAACAATTGTTTGTGTGGGAACCCATTGAGAGCTTGTTGAAGAGCACAATCGGGCCCCCTAATAAAACGGGTCGGGTTTTCAGGATCAAGAATGGCTTGTTGATGATGATCTATTAGGCCAGGGATTAAAGTGCAATTAAGTGTGATGTAAATCTTAATGTTATTGTGTTTTTATTTATTTAATCAAGAGGATAAGATTAGAGAAAGGGCATATGCCTGCATGTGCATTAAGATCAGAAGGGATTGATGAAAGAAAGATGTTTTAGTGATGATGTGAGAGCAAAGGTCAAGAAAGTGATGAATATTATAGTGTGTGTGGCATGTGAGGTTCACAGGTAGATACTTTTTTTTTGTAAAATATTTGGATTATGATGGATTGGATCCATTAATTGTTGTTGCACTGATTTCAGAGTGTCAATTATTTTGACCATAATTGATTAATTAAATAATCAGAAATTGAAAAATAAATATTGCCTAATTATTGATTAATAATAGGTGTTAGTAATGAGTTTAGCATTTAAATAATTAGATGATGAGTTGGCATGTTAACTTGATTCATGCATCAATTAAACAAGACTTGATTAAATAACATAATAAATATAGTTTGTGGGAAACATTTGCTTGGTTATCAAGTCAGTTCATTGTCAAACTCAAAATCATTATATGTTCATTGTCTTGAATTTGATTCTCCCAAAGGTTACAAGATTATGATACCCTTTTCAATTTAGTAATTTTATTAATGAAACGTATATTAAGTATTGAATTGTGAAAGACTATGGGAGACCAAGTTCACATATTTTCAAATAAATAAAGATATGAGGAGCTAAATCATATATATAACGTTTAAACATTATATAGACTAAAATCTTCTACAGGATATTGTTGGCCAATTAATTAACAATTGGAGACATCTGGATTCCATGCTGTATTAATTGAATAATTAAGACTGTTGTGCCCTAAAAAAGAGGCACAGTGTTCTTTTTTAAATGAAATTATTTACGCAGCACAATAATCAGGCATCAGTGGATTCAATTCAACATATAATTAGGTTAAACCTTGAATTAATTTTGCAAATGAAGCAAACCCTGCTAACCCTAGTTTTTTTTTTAATATAATTTTTTATGAGCTGGTTTGATTCAAATGTTATCTTGTCGATTTTGGTTCTATCATGACAATTTTGATTTAATATTTAAGTTATTTCAGATTTTAATAAAATCTATTATCAAATCAGTATTACTAATAAATAATATGAAATTTATGTCAATAGCTTTGTAATTTGATAACGTTAAAGCTTCCTTGTAATTGGGAGGTCACAAGTTTGATTTCTCTTATTATCTTATGCTGACAGGGCCAGCCCCTAATTTTAAAAATTATTATTCATATTCAAATTTTATATAATGTATGGATTTTTTTTAAAAAAAATCACGCTAAATCTCAAAGAAAATCAAATTTAAAGAGAAAATAATAATAATAGTAGTATAATTCCAATATTTATTAAATTGGAAGAAACAAAAGACTTAGCTAACTACTCAGGAAGCATATTCAATGGAACTAGATTTGTGGGTTCATTAAATAGCAAGCAGACTTGTGTGTGATCCTAGATTCCTAGTCTAAGCATAAAGTTCCCAGTTCATGATAATTGAAATTGAAATTTTGGCAAAAGCTGTTTTGCTCTTTTTCTTTTCTTTTTCCCTCCCACCGTGGGCCCTAATAAAATACAAGTTGCACATGGGTATACATGAGCTGAGAATCGTATTTGTTTATATACAGAGACACACATACATATATTACCTGACAGAATTGTATTTGTTTTAGTGGCTTCACATGCAAAATTTAGCCCTTCGGATAGTAACTACAATGAACCCAAATTCCATAGAGAGCTTCTAGGAACCTTCTTGTGATAAATGATAATACGAGCTCACATGCAGTGCCTCACAGGTCATCAGTCATCACTTATTCCTCTTTCTTCTTTCCATTTTTAGGTAAGTTCCTCTTCCTTGGTTGCATTAACCAATCCACAAATCTGGGCGCTATTAAATGTCTCTGTAGGCGCCTCTCTATATAGATATCAATAAATTAGGCCAACTCATTTGCTTGAATATATTGCTGCCATGGCCACACGTGAATCTTCTCTGCAGTATAGGGTTTAGACGCCTCCCTCTATAAAATACAATGAAACATTTTAGAGTTGCTTTTTTTAACCTTGTGTTAATCCTGAATCAGAGGAATCTAGTCACATCTTGGCCCCAGGCTGATCAGTTTGTGATAAACATAAATTGCATCTCATGTATTGCCATGAGAAGTCAGCAATCTCTCATTTTAACTGTAAGATTTTCGGGCTTGGTTCCATTCTTGATGGGTCAAACTATTTGATTAGATATTAAGAGAATATTTCAATCAAATATCCAAATAAGATTATGATATTTTGACTCGGTCAAACATCTTGAATCAAATCCAGTCAGTTACAATATAAGTTAAATTAATTTATATTGTACAGATTAAATATATATTAGAGATATATATATTGAGAATTAATTAAGGTTGATTTTGGATTTAAATTTAAATTCATAATTGTATCAGTTAAGAAATATTTGAATATTCGAATTCAAATTTAAACTAATGGACTTAGTGGATATTTTGCCTTCTCAAAATACCCCTAGCTAAAGCTATAAATAGAGGCCTCCATCCATCAGTGCAACTCACCCCAATAGTTGAGTTTTCTCTCTTGTGTGGTGCTCTGGCATCTAATATTCTCTCTTGTGTGTTGCTCTGCTGTGCCACTCAAGTTTAGATTCCTGTAGTTTAAACTCTGCATACGCATCGGTAGATCAACTTGTGGAGTTTTGGAGGAATAACCCGGATCCGAACATGGATCCAACCTGGTATGCGTTTTGTTTTCGTTTATATTTAACATTTCTAACATCATCTAGTAACATGAAAAATCTCCTAAGAATGAAAAGTCATGGGTTCAATCCACTTATAATTTCGAACCTTTAGATGAAGTTCATCATTAGCCCATCCAAACGCATAAACATGCCACGGGACACAGATGACTGCAAAAAGGGAAGGAAACCTTCGAAATATTCAAAACAGAATAGTAATTTATATTCAACTTGTTGATTATAGGGAAAACAATAGGAATGTTGAATACACTGCATCTGTAATTGGAAGTGAAACTATTCCTACATGGATCCAACCCAACCAAATATGTGATTTAGAAATAATATTTGAAAAGAAAAGAAGAAGCCAAAATTGAGCAAAAGGAATTACTATCTACTCTAGCATGTCGATCAATTCAATCCTCTTCATCAATCACCTTAGTGCCCAAACCTTTCCATTCTTCTCGAGGAACATCTGCAACAGTGACTAATGAATAAAACTCCTCCTTTGCATCTTCTTCATGGTTTCTTTTGCGAGCTATGCGAACACGCATTCTTCTTCGGACACTTCGAATTCCTTGGCTCCACACAAGTTTGTTAAGCTTGACATCCACCCTCACATCACTTGTTTCCATTGCTTTCTGGGCAAACTTCCTAATTTCCTTGATTGCCTTTGGAGCCTTCTTTTTGAATGTGCTGCATAAAGTTTAGCCATAATAAAATCCATTAAGATGACACAGAGGTACATAAGATCCACAGGCAAAGTAACCAGACAAAATCCTCATCCCGAAGCATATCAAATACTGTTACTAAAAACTTATAGCAGAAACTTGACAATCAATAAATTTTCCAGAGCTGATGCCCTTGCTTCTAGTGCAACATAACCAACAAAAGGCATGTCTTTACTCATAATTTGATTAGAAAATAACCGCAGAATGCAAATACCGGAATACTGCAACAGCATTCTCATACACAACCAGCTTGAAATCTCGTACTGAAGTCCATTATGCTATATTTTTCCAATCTCCCATAGTAACAAAGTAAACTGATCACTGAAATCAATACAACAGCGATACCAAAAACTGAAACAGAGATGAAAGCTGTCAAATGCACTCGAATGGAACAATAAGGATAAAGTGTAGATGTCAATATTAGCTCTGAATATGTCACCATCAAACAAGTCGCTGAATCCTTCCTGCCAATGCTTTCTACAAGGTATAAATTGGCTCATTTTCTAATTTTAAGTCAGAAAGCAATACAGATATCAGCCATGTCAAATAATGGATCACTTATGAAGCCGAAAAGTGACCTAGGAACGTCCTTGTTTGAGTTTCAGTTTAACATCTCAGAATTGCTAGAAACAGGGCACCCTGCAGGTGAACACACCCAACTTCATCCCGCATTGCCAATTATTAAGGTCGATCACATAACCAGACAAACGTTGTCTATGACTACCATGATCAGGGCGGCTCATTAAATGTGTAATGAAAATTGTTGCTTAAGAAGATTTTGATGCCAAACCTTGGGAAATGGGAATCTAAAACCAGCAAAGCTATAAGCAACATCGAACAATTGAAATGGAAAATTGAAAATTCTATCTCAAACCTATTCACCAAATTTCTGAGTCACAACTCACAGACTCCAGATAACTATTCACAAGCAAAAACTCATACAGACAAATCGAATTGGATAACAAGAAAGATAGAAATGGCCAAGTCAACTAACCATCCATGCAAGCGCTTGTGAAGGTTGACCGTGTACTCTCTAGTTAGCGCCTCCTCCTTTCTTCTGTTGGCCACCTTCTCCACCATTTTTAGTAGCTTCACTAATCCCAGGCCTCACTGTCTGTGGTGGCGGCAACACCCGCAGAAAACTGTTAGTCCGAGTCACGTCCTACAAACGCTGTCCTTAAGAACTATTCGGCAACCACTGACAAGTGAGGAAGCGGCACTTCCTAGGATTACACGGACTCCTCCTGCAAGAACAAGGTGAACAGAACAACAGAAGGAAAACATAAACTCAGGCAGGCAGAGGAAATTTCAGAGGAGGAGAGAGGTGCACGAAAACTCAAGTGCGAGATGCCTAAGCTTCCGCCCTGAAGCACCTTATATAGGCCTCAACCCATTGTTTCGTTAAACACAGATTAATCACGTTTAAATGTGATTAATATCACCGTTTCAGACGTTGCAGCAATGAAGGTGCTTAATGCAGCGGTTTCTGAATGTTGGATGATTAAGGCATGTTAAGATCAGTTTAAACAAAACCGTTTCTGCAATTAAAGGATAATCCGTTCAGATGGAGACCTTTACGTTTTTGAAGATTTCAAAAATTCAAAAGGCAATAAATCATGTTTTCATGTAAGCTTCAAAATTATTAAAATTAATTTTAGATTTTGTAAAAATGTCTAATTAAAAAGGTGCCTTATCCTTCTTTAACTTGTGCGCAGGGTGGAATCGTCAGATTTTCACTGCGTTTGCCTCCGGTGGCCCATGCTTATGGGCATGAGATTCTCCTTCTCCTCTAGGCCCATTCACTAGCCCAAGAACACAAGCTTGTATTTATGGACTTGTGTCTTCACTCTCTTAAGCAATGTGGGACTTTTCCTTTTGACACACCGAAGAATTCCTAGAACTCGATGTGGTATCAACGTATCGCTATATTGGGCTTGGGCAACCGCTCAAAAACTCTCATGTTTTCTTCGTATCCTTTCTCCTTCTCTTTTTTATTTAATCATTACATTAATATTTTAATGGTTTATATTTAAATCTTTTTAAAATTGTTACTAAGACATTAAATTCTAAAAATAAATAAATAATAAATTAAAAACTATATTAAAATATAATTCTGATGGTTGGCAAATGTACTGCATGTTTTTAAAATTTTTTATAAATAGTTTATAAAATATTAAAATCTGAACCGTTAAAATATGTTAATCTAATTATTAGAAAAAGAAGAGGAGCGAAGATGATGGGAAGAGAAATGGAGAGGTTCCAAATTGATTTTGCAAACCCCTCAACATTTGGAAGAATTACTGAAATGCCATTCCTCAGAATTGGCAATGGGTCGAATTGGCCCAGTATAAATTTCTTGTTAGGCCAGGCCCATTAGTAACTAACTTGGCTTAAATAATTTTTTTTAAATAAAAAAAAAGCATGTTGAAGATTAGCTTGAGTTGAGTGTAGCAAAAGAGGTTAATCTCTCAAAAGTTAATGTATCAATAAAAAATGGTATTACCTTCGGTTTTTAAGATAAAAACTAGTTGACTAATTTGAGTAGATTAAGAAAATTAGTTAAGTTAGTTATTTGTAATAAATATGTGTCATTTTTCTTAAAATATCTTTACTAATTAAGTATATTGGCTAAAACTACCATTATTCTAAGGACCACTTTGAGAAAAAAATTAGAGATCAAGTAAATTGAATTCTTATACTTATGACTAAAATAAAAATCAAATAAACTCTTATATTAAGGACTATTAATAACTAAGGACCTTGTAAGAAATTTAATGTAAAATAAGGATATGTTTACATTCAAAATTTCAAAATTGATGACTCAAATTTTTATATTCATGGCTTGAAAATCCTTATTTTATATTGATATTTTTACAAGGTTTTTAATTATCTTTTTTTATAAAAAAAATATACATTCCGTCATGAGAATCAGCACCCAAAAATAATTGTATACAGACGATTTAGTTTAGAAAATCCGTCTCCTATTTCTACCCACTAATAAGATATTTGTGTATATCTATGACTTTTTTCAAGGATTAAGGGAAATTCAAAGGGGGAAAAAATGAAAGAGTAATTTGATAGTTCAACAAGATCCAATGGAATCGTGGTACCCTTTTTCCTCCACCCACTCCACCTCCAGAATAACTAATAATTAAAGAATGCCAACTTGACCTTGTAATAGCACAATCATTATGTAAAGAATCTTAAAAAGTGGCAAAGCTTCTTTTGCCAAAAGAGGCAAGCTCTATGATTAGGGCTTATGAATTGTGATACTATAAAGAATGCTTGCTAATACTTTGTTAGATAGTTAATATAAGAGTTAAATAATTAATTTATGAATATTAAAAACATTATTTTTTACCAAATTATGAAAATTATTTAAGCTACTCACTGTAACAAATATGTATTGACTTATTTAGAATGATTTTTTTAATCATGTACGTTAGAACTATTTTTTAACATAAACTTACCATGCACAATCAATACTGATGTTTTGAAAAATAAATATGAATTTGTAGGACAAGTTGAAGTTTTTTTATTTAAAACTAAAATCAATCTCATGTCTAACTCAAATATCTAAGATTAGAAATAGCAACGCCATTGTATCAAACTTAGAGCTGGTAATATGGGCCAACTCACTAGTTATGGGTTGGCCCATGGCGGGCTCAAGAACCGATGGGCCGGTTTTAAAAAGACTGACTTTTGGCGGGTTGATATTTTTCTAACCCAGATTTTTTTTGTGCCTTTTGTTTTCTTTTAACAAAATTTATTTTAGTTCTTAAACACATAAAATAAAATATTCATATAGAAATTATAATAAATAAAATATGAAATCTAAAGTTCCAAACATTCCAAAATAGTACTATAAACATACATGATACATAATCCTAAATGATTAAATATACATCCCAAATTAAAACATAACAAATCTAAATTAATAATAACATAAATACAATGTTACAAATCACTATTAAGTGTTCAACCACGAGCCACCATTTAATGTTGATATAGCTCAAAGAATGGTATGAAGATGTGAAATTATTTGGTTAAGTTTTATAAGTAGAATCACCTTTTTTTTTACTCAACTAAATTTGCCACAAGTAAAATTCATAATACAAAATAAAAGATATATTATATTTTGATAATTTTAAATAATAAGAATGAAATAAAGGACAAAAGGAGTAAAACGTAATTATATTTGAAAGAGGAAAAAATTTTAAAAAATAAAATAAAATAAAACGGGCCAAGCCTGACTGAGCTGCCAACCCTGTGGATTAGCCCACCATGGATTTAGTCTTGACTGTTACGAATTCAAAAGATTTGTTTTAAAATGTACCTAATTTTCATCAACCTAACCTCCACTTCTTGGCGAGTTGAGCTTATATTATCGGCTCTAGTACTAATAATAGTGGTGTGGAATGACTAACTATAAAATATTAAATATTTGTCGGGAGAGTTTAGTAACAGAAGCTAGCTATTCAAAATGTGACAAATAATGTTCAATTTTTATTAAAAGATGTGCTAGTATTTCTTATATGAAAGCAACGTTAATTTCGGACTAATTGGAACGGAATTGAAAAGAGCTATAAAGTCGATAAACGCTCCAAACAAATATTTAATATTACTTTCAGTTTTAATTATAATCTGTAAATAAAATCTTATAAGCAGGATAAAGGTAATATTTTATAGTTAGTCATTCCGCCATCGTGTACCGCAATCATGCATGGTTTTTTTCATATAGAAATACATTAATGCTGATGTCCTAATAACTTGACATTTTAATAATCATCACTAGCAAACATATAAAAAATTATGAAATTTACAATTTTTTTATTGAGGATAACAACCAACTAACCGAAGACTTTATTTTTCCTATAACTTACTTTTAGTTATCTCATAAAGATTAAGAAAAATAAATGAAAATGATTTTTTGGTGCAAAATAAAAATGACTTATATCTTACATGTTTTTCAAAAAAAAAAAATCATTGCCTTTAGTTTTTTTTATGAGAGAGAATCTAATTGTTAGTGGGGTTGGTGAAATTACGATTATTATTGAGACTGAAACACCCCACAATTAGCTGCATCTCGGCATGTCTTGTCACTAATTACTGTAATTAACGATGCTTTTATTAACCAAATCCTGTGATTAATTAAAATACTAAAAGCAAACCCCCCCCCCCAAAAAAAAGGTTGAAATCAAGAGACAAGAGAATCATAAATCAATTAATCAGCACCTAATTGTTCGATCTATGTTTTTTTATGTTCCAGAATCCTATGGTTATTTTAATTAATTCTCAATGTGTTTTTTTTTTCTGGTTATTCAAAATGTCACGTCTTTATTCTAGAAGCAGAGGATTTATGATGATAAATATTACTCCTCCGGTCCTTAATATAAGACCCATTTAACTAATTTGATTATATTAAAGAAGTTAGGTAAGTTAGTTAATTATGAGAAAAGTGACACATTTTTCCTAAAACACCATAATCATCTTTCTTAATACCCCATTTCTCTCTTCCACTTGATTATGGTTGAGATAGTATTTATAGGGGTAATTTAGAAAAAATTAATAAATATGAAAAATGGGTATTATATTAAGGACCAAAATCAACTCAAAAATTGGGTCCTATATTAAGAACTGGAGGAGTAGCATTTAATTCTTTTTGATGTTTCATTATTTGGTCTAATTAGTAATTAAATTACGGTTTGTCGCCTTTCCTTTGGCTCAAGAGTAATTAGCATTCCTTAATTTATAGTTGGCAGATTTGGCTAATTCTAATTTTTTTTATCACAGAAAAAAGTAAGTCAAGAATTGTTTTGCCTATTGACCAGCAACCAATATATAAATTAATACACAATAAAATAAAAGCATTTATCTGTTTTGTATGTTCTTCATGAAACAGTAATACGTTCATAATGATATATGACTTTTTAAGCAAAAATAATTATATATGAAATCAAAAATTAATTATATATGACGGAGAAAATATTTTTAGAAAAGTTATTTTCAATTAGATAAAATAATATTACCTCTAGTTCTAAATATAAAACTTTGTTTGACTTTGATTCGATTCTAAATAT